TGATGCTGCTTGGCCTGCTGTGTTCATCCAGCTCTACACCTTGTTATCTCAGATTTTCCAGCATCTGCAGTTCCTACTATCTCTGAAGTAACAAAGCTCTTTAGGTTTATCAGGCTTCACATGATTCAAGAATAAGACCCATCATCAGTTGCTCAGGGCAACTTGGGTTGAGCCAGAACTCCCATCAATGCCTACACTTTGAAAGTAATTTTTTTGCAAATGTAACACTCATCCAATTAAAGTGGGAGAATGGTATATTTACTCCATACACTACGAATTTGTAATCTCATTTCTAAATGCAGCTTCAGTCTTGATTATCTGGTGGGAGTGAAGGACAATTTGCAGATTTGCATCAACACAATCTGAACAATGGAGACAAGCCAACCCTTTTTGATCAAAATTGCAATGATGCTAATTAAATTCAAAGAAACAAACCTCTTTGATCCTTTAACAAAAGACACACACTGCTGCAGGAGGAACTAGCCTTTCACAACGATCTATCATTTAGATTTATCTGTTCTCAGATGATGTTTTCAGAACTAGTACGCTATAAGTCAAGGCTCATGGTGAAAGATGGTACTTAAGATTGAAGACAGAAGCACATTACTTCTTTTTGGTTCATTTTTTTGATTCGTTTCCCATTCGTTTTTATTTTTTGCCCATACCTAATTGACAAAGTCATCATGAGCTGCCTTCTTGACCTGCTGCAGCTTGTATGGTGGAGGTTTACCCGGAGTTCTGTTAGGCAGGGAGTTCCAGCATCCTGACCCAACAACAGTGAGGATTTGTATCTAAGTCGGGATGATGAGTGACTCGGAGAGGAATTTGCAGTGGTGTGGTTTCCATATACCTGCAACCTTTTGTCTTCTAGGTAGTAGAGATTGTGGGTCAGGGAGCTGCTATCAAAGATATTACATACTGAGTGAAGAAGTGAATGTCTAACTTGGTATTTGGGCGCTATTCTTCCTAAACTTGCCCATCAGTGTCCAAGAAAATGAAAGCTTCTGGTGTTTCTGGAGTTTCCCATAGTGTAGTGTACTCCAGCTATTTTGTACAGCTCCAACATAACTCCCTGCTCTTATAATCTATGCCTTGGCTGAGAAAGGCAAGTGTCCCATATGCCTTCCTAACTACCCTATTAACCTGCCCTAAGCCTTCAGAGATCTGTGGATAAGCGTCCCAAGTTCCCTGTGTTCCTCTGAATGTTCTAGTGTCCTACATTCATTGAATGTTCTCTTGTCTTGTCGCTTCTTCCAAAGTACCTCACATCATTCTTATCAGGGTTAAATTCCATTTGTCACTGATCTGCACATCTGACCAATCTGTCCATATCTTTCTGCAACCTAAGAGCTTCTTCCTCACTGTCAACCAATGACCAATCTTTGTGTCATCTGTAAACTTACTTATCTTCCCCTCCCCTTGCCTACATTTTCTTCCGTATTATTTTTATACACCACAAACAATATGAGACTAAAGCACTGATCTCCATGGGGTGCCACTGGACACCAACCTCCAGTCACACAAACAGTCTTCTACTGCCACTTTCTGCCTCCTATCACAAAGACAATTTTGAATCCAACTTGCCAAGTTACCTGGATTCTGTATGCTTTTACCTTCTTTATCAGTCTCCCATGTGGAACCTTCTCAAAGACCTTGCTGAAATCCATTTAAATTCCATCAACTGCACTACCTTTCTCTACACACTTGGCCACCTCCTTGAAAACTTCAATCAAATTTGTTAGGCATCACCTCCCTCTGACAAACCCATGCTGACTATCTCTGACAAAACCTTACTTTCCTAAATGGAGATTCATTCTTTCCTTCAGAATTTTCTCCAATATTTTCTCAATTACTGGAGTGACTGATCTGTAATTCCCTGGTTTATCTCTATCATCCTTCTTGAAAAGTGGAACCACATTAGCTGTCCTTAAGTCCTCAGGCATCCGACCTGTGGCCAGTGAGGAATGAAACATTTGGGTCAGGGTCCTGGTGATTTCCTCTCTTGTCTCCCACAGCAGCCTGGGATACAACTCATCCAGACCTGGGGATTTGTCCATTTTAAATGGCCAAAACATCTAATACCTCTTCACTCCCAATGTCAGTCTGCTCAAGGACCTCACAGCCCATTTTCCAGAATTCTGTACCTACATCCTCCTCTTTCAGAGTAAAGACAGATGCGCAGTACTTGTTTAACACTCTATCAATGTCCTCCAGCTCCACACACAGATTTCCCCCTTTGTTCCTAATGATCCCTACTTTTTCCCTGTTTATCATCTTCCTCTTACTCTGCTTGTAAAATTTCTTGGGAATCTTTCTAATCTTGCCCATCAGTATTTCATCATGCCACTTCTTTGCTTTTCTAATTGCTTTCCTAAAATCCCCCCTGAATATCCCACACTCCACTAGGGCCTCTGTTGACTTGCTTCCTTTGTACCTGTTATATGCCTTTCTTTTCCTTTTAATCCACACATGAATATTTCTGGACATTCAGGGTATTCTGAGCTTGTTGCTCCTACACTTCACCCTAAAGGGAACATGTTGGGCCTACACAGTGCCTAATTCCTTTTTGAATGTCTTTAGCTGCACCAAACCACCTTCCCCCAACCCCATACACCTGCAACCCCTGATATTTACCCAGAAGTAACTGTTCCCAGTCTACTTTGGCCAGGTTCTGCATTATTTGAATGAAATATGTCTTCCCACAATCCAACACTTCTTTTCACAGATCATCTTTCTCTTTTCCCACAACAAACTTAAAACTTATGGTGTTGTGGTTGCTATCACTAAAATGCTCCTTCAGTGCCATCTCAAACATCTGCCCAGCTTCATTCCACGGAACTAAGTCCATTTAGAAAAGTGAAAAATGTTCTATTGCACTTCTGACCTATGTCATGTAGGTGGTGGAATGGCTTTGAGGCATCAGAAAGTGAGTGACCCTGCCCCACTCAAATCTCACCATATGCTCAATGCTCCATTTTACAAGGGAACATTCCTAGTGGGACATTTTTCATAAATACTAAAAGCTGCAGGCAGTGTTGTAGTGGTAATGTTACTGGACCTATCATCCAGAATGCCGGTTAATGTTGTTAATGAGTGCTTCGCCTTGGTATTCACAAGAAATAAAAGCAGGAGCAGGCCATCTGGCCCATCGAGCCTGCTGTACCATTCAATAAGATCATGGCTGATCTTTTCGTGGAGTCAGCTCCAATTACCTGCCCACTCACCATAACCCTTAATTCCTTTACTGCTCAAAAAATCTATCTATCTTTGCTACAAGGAGGGGTTGGACAAACTTGGATTGTGTTTGCTAGCGTGTTGGAGGCTGAGGGGCCGAAGTGATAGAAATATATAAAATTATGAGAGGCATGGATAGGGTGGGTAGTTGGAATCATTTTCCCAGGATGGAAATGTCAAATACAAGGGGGCATAGGTTTAAGGTGAGATGGGGAAAGTTTAAAGGAGATGTGCCAGGCAAGTTTTTTAAGCAGAGGGTGGTAGGGGCCTGAAACATGCTTCTAAGGGAGGTGGTAGAAGCAGATACCTTAGCAACTTTTAAAATTCATTCAGACAGACACATGAACAGGCAGGGGACAGAGGAAAACTGACCGTGTGCAGGCAGATGGGATTAGTTTAGAATGGCATCATGGATGGCATAGAATGATGGGCTGAAGGGCCTGTTCCTGTGCTGTGCTGTTCTATGTTCTTAAATATTGGTCCAGCCAGTGAGGCCCACATCCCACAAATTAATTTGTAAAAAGTAGACCATTGATCCCTTGACAAATTCCTCTATTCAATGGATGGAGTTCCTAAACCCAGACCTGGCAAAGTAAAGTTCCCTAACAAGAGCATTCATTTGCAATGTTGGCCCAATAAGTATACAGCAAAATCAGAGGCAGACATCTACAGCTAATTCTTTTCACACTTTTTTTTTTCCTACAGGTTTTTGTGTTGTTGAAGAAGTGGCAAGTGGACGATGTGAACTCAATGTTTACAAGCCAATGCAGGAAGCAAACCTAAACAGAGGACACATGTCAAGTCTTTACTAGTTACGCTGGTTGGTAATGAAAACGGACACAATCCACAAATTGGAGGCAAATAATCCACCAGAATCTGTTTGATCTGAAATGTACAAACAACTAATAGGTGGATGCTGATGGCTATCCAAGGTTTGCATGGTTAGGAAAATAAGTCTACCAACAAACAAGTAACTCCCTATCCCAAAAGAGGATGGGTGATGGACTAGGAAAAAGGGATTTAGGGTCTCCATCCTTACATCACCCTACACACCCATGGCTGCTCCAGTTTCTGCGGAATGGGCATGGAATGCTTCCACTCCAGGAAGACAGCACCGAGTCTCTCCTACATCCATCCTCTTCAATCAAAGTCTCGTGTCCAAGGACAGAGATCTAGTTTCTCAGTCAATAGGTCTCTTCTTCATGCTGTTGGTTGACCTGGTCGGCATAATTGGAAACACTGCAGTGATGCTTGTAATTATAAGGACCCCATTGTTCAAAAAATTTGTTTTTGTTTTCCATTTGTGTGTAGTCGATCTGACAGCCGTCTTAATCCTCATGCCCTTAGGGATGATGTCCAGCTCCACTCTTTTTGACAACATAACTTTTGGTGACACCTTGTGCCGGATATACCTCTTCCTAAGCATGTTATTTATAAGTGCGTCCATATTGTCTATACTGGCCATTAATGTTGAACGCTATTATTACATTGTACATCCCATGAGATATGAGGTAAGGATGACACTGAAGTTAGTGGTGTCTGTCATTATTTGCATATGGATCAAAGCCACTTTGATGTCAATACTGTCAGTCTTGGGTTGGAATTCCCAAAGACATGTGAACAATCAGTGTTCCTGGCAATGGGGCAGAGAGATGTATGAAAAGGTTTTCATAGTTTTCTTTGGCCTGTTTTACTTCTTGTTCCCAGTGTTAGTTATCCTGATTGTTTACTGCAACATGTTCAAAGTTGCCAGGGTTGCAGCACTACAACATGGACCCTTGCCCACTTGGATGGACACACCAAGGCAAAGGTCAGAATCACTCAGCAGTCGGTCCACCATGGTCACCAGCTCTGGAGGGACAAGGGCGTCCCCACAACGGACATTCGGCGGAGGGAAAGCAGCCGTCATCCTCTTTGTGGTCGGAGGCCAGTTTGTATTCTGTTGGTTGCCATTCTTTGCATTTCACCTGCACTCTGTTTTGAGCCCAAGGTCAACCCCTCTGGACCTCTGGGAAACCATCGTCACGTGGATTGGGTACACATCCTTCAGCATCAACCCCTTCTTTTACGGATGCCTCAATCGACAGATCAGGGGGGAGTTAAGCAAGCACCTCAACTGTCTCTTCAAACAGACTCTGGAAGAGGACCTCCGGTTGCCCAGCCGAGAAGGCTCCATCGAGGAGAACTTTATGCAGTTTTTGCAGAGGACTGGTTGCAACGCAGAAACCAGGTCTAGCTATGATGCTTCCAGTCCAAAGTTAGACCAGTCGGCTCTGGGTTTCAGGATCCCAGGTCAGATTGTGGAGGAAACATCAGATTTCCTTGAACAACACATAGCCACTGACTTTACAATGTCCAACAGCTGTATTCGAATTAGCAGGTCTCCAAAACACGATGCTTAATGTTTATCTGTAGAATGATTGAGTTTGGTCTACATCACTTAATGTTAAATGGTTAAATCTCTCCTGATTGTTTCCAGAGAGAAGGTTAACTGTAACAGAGAGGAAGCCTTATATTTGACTGGATCTGCTTTTGTATTGTTTATCTTAATTGATTCCTGTTTTGAGTTACCTTTAAACTCACAAACCAGTCATCAGAAGCAATCACACACTGATGTGCTTTTGCAAATAGGCCAAATATTCGTTATAGAGGCCATATATAAAGATGGTGGCTAACCTTTGCTGTTTGTAGGTTTTAAAATGATTTTGTTCCTACGTGTCTCTTAAAATTGTGCCTGCTTCCTCGCTGAGGATTGTAGGATAATTTTAGACTGGTACTCATTGGAGAGTGGATCTGGTGAGTCAAAAGACAACAATTTTGCATTTATATAACACCTTTACCCATATTAGAAAATTCACAGCTGCTTCACAGGAGCATTAGCAGATAAAAATTGGACACCAATCCACATAAAGAGATATCAGAATAGGTGAAAAAAGCTTGGCCAAAGTAATGCTTTTATGAAACACCTTAAAGAAAGAGAGAGAGACAAGTAAAGATGTTTGGAGAGGAAATTATGGAGCTTGAGGCCCAAACAGCAAGCATGGTGTCTAAAGCTGGAGCAATTAAATTTGGGGATGCATAAAAGGCTAAAATTGACAGAGTTTGGGGTCTCAGAAGATTGTAGGTGTGGAAAAGAGTTTAAGATGAGCAAGCCTATGGAGGGATTTAAAAACAAGGAAAAGAATTTTAAAAGGAAGGCATTGCCAACTGGTCCATATGCTTCAGCAAATGCATTGGCCAACAGGACATGATGTATGTTAGCAAAGTTTTGAACGTGCTCGAAATTTCATAGTGTGGAAGATGGAAAGTCGAAATTAATGTCCCTTAATCATTTTGTATATCTCTACATTTTCCAGTCATTTTTTTTTCCTGCCATTGAGTCTGTGATTACTTTGGAAAGTAAATCTGCTGGTTAGCATCTTTGCTCCAGCTGGTCTGCTACACCCTTTCTTGTCTGATTAGACCCAGTCCTTGTCATAAAAAGCCAGAGGCTGATGTTCACACAGCAAGGCTGCAGGGGTCTTTAAAAAGAGGAGACATAATAAGTCAAGAAACAAATGGTTTGAAAGCCCAAGTTTTGGGTTCTTGAGAGAGGCCTGTGGAATTTAACAGATCAGGTTGTCCAAGAAAGGAACGGTCAGAACAGGACACAAGCCTTGCTTGACATCATGATACTTTCTACAACTTGGCCAAGATCTCTGTCATGGAGGATAAGAAAATGAAATTCTTTGGACTCTGTTCTTCAGCTTTACATCATCCCTGAGAGTTGAATATTCACCAGAGGTCAAGAGGTCAAGTGACTGTGGAACTCCATTGATAGATTTGAAGTCTGTTTTATGGTTTTCAATGTTGATTTAGAGGAATTTTCTGAAAGAGAAATTGTGGGTTTTTTTCAGTGATTTATTATCAGGTAATTTATCATTAATATTTAATCAGAGCTTGATGAAGATCAATACCTTTTCTCTGGAATTCTATTGCCATAAATGGACCACTTTAGCTTCCTTACTGGAATTAGTTTTGAGTTCCTGATAATGTTATGTCTTTAGTTTAATGTCACTCCGACATATGACATTAACCAACATGAAAACATCATGACCAGGACAGAGTCCCATGTTACTGTCATCACCCTCTCCCCCAATGCCATATACCCACGCCCCCCACCCCCAAATGATGTAGTTCAAACCAGAAGATCAAGGAGCCATTCCAGCTCAGATAGGGCCCTAACTTTATCAAAGTGTTAAAGCTCTAATCTCCTTCTGTCTCTCTAGAATGGAGGTGAAAAATCAGCCAGGGTTTTACCCCAAACAGAATTTAATCAGCATTCCACCAGCCCCACCTTCAAACCCACCCATCACCACAATCATCCTTCCTGGATGTTAAGTGAACACAAGTTGGGAATTGACTGCGATGCCACCCATAAACAATCAGCCTGTCAATAATCATTGACTAAGACTCACACATGAAGGTTGAGATTTTGGAACACTGTTACAGGAGTAGACAGCTCAGCCCTTTGAGCTTGTTGCCTCATTCAGTTATATTATAGCTGAACTCCGTCTATCCTCCTTGGTTCTGAAACGCTTAGTACACTTGCCCAACAAAAAAAAATCAATCAAGCTCAACCTTGGGAGCTTTATATAGGATTGCATAGGATATACAACACAGACCCAGGCTATTTAGCCCAAGCAGTCCATACTAATAAGGTTCATTTCTATTGACCCCCATACTTAACAGTTTTTATGGGGAGAAAGTTCCAGATTTCCACTGCACCTTTTTGTGAAGACCTGCTTTCTGACATCACCCTTACATTCAACAATGGTATTTTATTCAAGAGAAACGTTCTATCCTAAAGCTGAATTGTGGTGTAATTTACATCAAACAGTCCCTTTGTAGCCAGTGCACACACAATGGGCCAAATGATCTCCTTCTGCAGGTAACAATTCTGTGGTAAACACAGTAATCAGGTCAAAAACGTGTGAATGTGTGACAATCATCTAGAAATAAAATAGACAAATAAATTCAGCCATTAGCAGGGAAGTGACAGAAACAGTATTAAAATAAATAAATGTAATTAAAATTATCTTAAAATTACAAACCAATACATCACTTGCACATAACAGACACCGAAGTACATATAGATTTAATCATTTAGGTACATCATTTCGTAAAAGGTAAAGTCACCATCAGACCACAGGGCTGCTGTCTCATTAGACAGAGACAACTGGTGGTTTAACCTGAGGGTCACCATGCCTCAGGCCAGGGGAGAGGTTGAGAAGGAGGGTCCTTCACGATAACCTCAGCCTGGTGCAGGATTGGAACCCACATTGTTGGCATCACTCTGCATCACAAACCAGACATTCAGCCAACTGAGCTAAAAAGCAGTGGAAGCAGAGTCCTTTAATATCTTTTAAGGCAGAGATAGATAGATTTTTGATAAAACAAGGAGTGTGAAAGATTACCAAGGGTGGTCAGGAATGTGAGGTAATCAAATAGTAGAATGGGCTCAAGAGACTGTGTGGCCTACTCCAGTCCCCAAGGTATAAGGAGAGGTCACAATTAGGTAGCAGAATATTCACTCAGGCTGAAGCATATACCGTAGTTTGATAATAATTTCTTATTCTTATGAGTAGAATTGTGGGTCTAAATCGGTCCCTTCTTGCAAAAAATACAAGAGAATTAATGTCAGACGTTTGAAGTGCTTGCTTCTGGGAATGTAATCATTTAGAAACACCTACAAGCTTCTGCTGTTTGGTTAATGTGTCTCACTTGTTTTTCAGTGGGTTGAACTTCAATGAGCTGAATTCAACATTAATTCTGACAACAGGTTGCATTCAAGTGAAACTAAAAATTGATCTTTCTCCCTGCTGGACTTACCTTTTATTTATCTTTTGTTTTCACTTTTCAGTCTGCTCTTCACTTCTGCCATTTCTCATTCTCTTCCTCACACTTCCATTTCAGTGTTTCTATTGGTCTATATTTATTGCCTTCTTATTTCTCTCCTACTCCCTCATTTTTCTATTCTGTTCCCATTTCTAACCTGCGTCATTTCTACCAACTCTGTCTTCCTCATCCATTTCCTCTCTGCAACAAGATTTCATCTCTCTCAAACCTTTGATAACAACTTGATAGCGCCCACCTGAATCTTTTCTCATCCAAGACTCTTACAGTGGACTTTAATTTCAGTGTTATTTGATGCACATGTAAAACCATTATAGCACAGAATGAGGTCATTCATCCAATCAAGACTATGTTAGTGATTGTTGTCATCACATACTGGAATGGAATTGAGCCTGCAATCAATGGCTTAAAGCTGGAACTGCAAGACATTTGAACCAGTACTAGTCTTGTATAAAATGTTCCAATTTGTTCATCCCTCTCCACCCTCTGCATTCCTCTACTTTGGCTGGAGTACAGCAGGAGGAATTCACTGCCTTGTACGTGTTCTTGAGTATGGCTGATAATCAGGCAGCTAATGTCCTCTGACCATCTGCTGAAACAAAACAAACATTTTCCAAGTAAACCATGTAGAACCATGCATCTATGGTCAACAAGCTGACAAATTAATCAGAATACAATGCACTCCCCTCCACCACCCTAAAAGGGGCCTTTTGTGTCTGGGTTGAAGTCCCACCTTCTCCAGAGGTGTGTAAACACCATCTCTGAACAGGTTGACTAGAAAATATCTACAATGGGCTCCCAGCATTGGCAACCTCCACTGGTATACATGTGGGTTCCTTGAAGCCCAGAGTGGTGTGGTGTGGATGAAAATAGCCACCTTTCTGATCTAACTAGAAGAGTCTTGTTAAGTAAACAATATGAAATCTGTTGCATCACTATCTACAAGTTTCATGAACACAAACCACAATTAAGATAGAGACTGAGTGAGCACACTAGTCTCAGGTCTGTCTCCTACCTACTCCTTCTTTACTCTGATCAAGTCCCTGTGATTTCACCTCAGAGGGTTGTGCTAAATGCACCCAATCAAATATCAACCCTATCAGGATATTTTTACATGACCCACTTTCTATATTCACCCTGTCAAACCCCAGAATGATTCTAAAGACTTTTATGTCAATGCTGTCTTTTCGAGAGAATTGTTTAGTCTGCAGTTAAATGCCTCTCATAAATGATTGTTTTGTTTGAGAAACTAGGATGTGAGGGTATGAGACTCACCACAATACACAGCACTGTAGGCACCTTCACCGTACAAATTGCAACCCTCCTGAACAAAAACCCTCCACCAGCAACTTCTCAAGTGCAACTACTGATGAACAATAAACAATGGCCTTGCTTCTGACAGCCGCATCCTGAAAATTAAGGGCTACTCTCCTTTTGGTCTGTTTGAAGTGTCAAACAGTGACCAAAGCAGCAAGCGAACTGCCCCAAAGTCCAGATCCATTCCTCC